TAAGAAACACTGTTACTGTCCATCAATGATAAATAGTGTCTCAACAAAGAGGAAAGTGACTAAGACAGATACTAGTAACAAGAATGGGACCGTTGCTGTAACACTACATGACTGTGGTTCAGAAACCTTTGCAACAGGTTCAAGGAAGGATTTTTGTTTCAGGGGTTTTGTTTGTTTATTTGCTTTTGAGACAGGGTCTCACTGTGTAGTTTAGGCTGGCCTGGACTCACTATGTAGCCTAGGCTGGCCTTAAACTCACAGTGATCCTCTGCCTCAGCCTCCTGAGAGCTGGGGTTACACCACATTTGGCACCAAAGAAGAAAGATACGGAGATTTTGGCTAGAGAAACAGTCCTAGAATACTATGAGCTGAGCTTGATGGGAGATTCTGGTCAGGACTCAGAGGTCTAGAATGCTGACATAATGCAACCAGAAAAGACCACGCTCAAGAGGTTTCAGATGCAAAGGACTCCATTGGCACCTGGACTCCAGGCCACATGTATTTTGCTTTGGCAGAACATTTGTCTACATTTCATTCATGTCCTGAGGCTGCAGGAGAGTGAGGTTAAAGGTAGCATACTAATTAATCTGCTGGGAAATTTTCAAGGCACCCCAACACTGAGACTATGATATGAATACTGCTCAAGACTTTTAACCAGATTTATTCTGAAAATCAGAACCAAAAATTCCATTTTAAAAGTTTTCAGTTTCATCAGAAAGTGTTGTGTTTAAAAAGATGGCGATAGGAGCCCTAGGTTACTAAAATGATTACCACTAAAAAGAAGGCAAGTACTTTGGATCAGGACAATTGCGGAAAACACTGCTTAAGGGCATGTCAGGAATGAGTAAAATCACATCACTGAAAAAGTGAAAGACTTGGCTTTGAGAAGAGAACCCCAAGGTACTCTGGACTGCTCCAGAATAGCCTCATAGGGAATTTGTTCCAGGTATTAATTTCACAGTGCTACTGCTTGAGCTGGAAGGAGACCTTGGGGTCATCTATGTGGTGCTGGTTTTACAGGCATACAGAATGCAACAGTTACAGGGTCAGGGAAGCTTCCACCCAAATTTCAGGAAAGTCCTAGGAGCCCAGGCAGTGTGTCCCCGACAGGTGAGTGCATGAAGCCGTGGAAAAGAAGTTGAAAGTCTATTTGAGAGCCCAGGAAGTTGAAGAACCCAGGAATGTAGAATATCTGAAGAAAGCCAAAAGGAATGAGCAAAGACAGTGCAAAAAGAAGCCATGAGAAGTACAGCCACCAGCAAAGTGCTACCCAAGCCCTTCAAAGTTGTATCTCACATCTTGCCCTGGGTGCTGGACATGGAGCTACAGGATTTAATGTTTGCCCTGCTGAGTTTCGTTCTTTGCCTTGGTCCCATGCCTTCCCATCTCCTTCTTCCTCCCTTTTGAAATTAGAATTTTATCCTGCATCCATTGTATGTAGGCAATGTTTAACTTCTTTTTGATTTTATAAGAACTTGTAATCAAGAATTTGCCTTGTCTCAAAGGAGACTGTGGCCTTGAACTTTTCAGTAATGCTAGAATTATTAAGACTTAGGTGACTCTTAGAGATGAGCTAAGTGTATTTTGCATAAAGAGATTCATATGAATCTTTTTGGAGTTAGGGGCAGAATGTTGTGTTTATATCTAGAGGTTCCCCCCAAGAGTCTCATGTGCGCATAGGCAGGGCTTTTGAAAGGTAATTAAATTATGGATATGTTACAGCTGACTTGCCAGGAGACCTAAAGGGTTTAATCTCCCCCCCCCACCTAGCTTCTCCCTTGATTCTATTCTTCGTGTGTGCCATGCCACTGTGTCCTACCATGCTGCTTTGGAGCCAGCCAACTATGCACCAAAACCTCTACACACTGAGCCAGAAGAAACTTTTCCTCCTTTAACTTGTGAGTATAGGGTATTGTGTCTCAGTAGCAAATGACCAAAACAGATGGATAATCAAGCGTGGTATACTCATACAATAGAATACTATTCAGCAATAAAAAGGCATAAGGTCACCAATCTTGAAAATATTGTGCTAGGTAAAAGAAGACAAACACAAAAGACGACATTTTATGTGCTTCCATGTATACAAAAGGTTCAAAATAGGCTAATCTAGAAACAGAAAATAGACTGTGGTTGCCAGGTATCACAGCAAATGATAATGAGTAAAGAATTTCGTTTGAGGAGATGAAAGTGTTCCACAATTATAGTGATGTTGACTGCACAGGTTTGTAAATATACTAAAACCCACTGTTTATTTAAAAACACTTTAGGGGATGGGGCAGTAGCTTAGGAGCTAAGTATGTGCTTAGCATGTGTTAGAATTAATATACTGTGTCAACTTCAGCAGTTTAGAAGTTTAACTGAGAGACTTGCAGGGTTCTTACTTTGTAAATATCTTCCTCCTGCCCAAGAGGAGCTCACAGAGATTTTGTGAGCACTACACCCACTGGGGTGGGGGACAGTTTGTGTATATAAGGGAGGAGAAGAGGCTTATTTTCTCTTTTTGCTCTGGTTGCTACCTTGAAGTGTTGCCCCTTGTGCCATGCCACCCTGCCTTGAATCCAGCTGATTGTGGACTGAAATCTCCAGAAATTGTAAGCCAAATAAACCTTTCAGTCCTTTATTTTGTGTGTCAGATTTTTTGTCCCAGCAAGGAAAGAAAAGTAAAAGTAACCAAGACAGCATGTGCAAGGCCCTGGGTTTGATCCTCATTATCAAAAAATAAAGAATAAAAATAAAAATAAATTAGGGCCAGGGACATAGCTCAGCAGCAAAGTGCCTTCCTGGTAAGCATAAGGACCTAAATTCAATTCCCAGTACTAAAAAATAAAAAGAATTTTAATGAATTAATTTTATTATATGTAAATTATATATGAGTAAAACTATGGAAAAAAAAGATACAGTTGCAAGGTTTTATGTGAACTGTGAAGGAACTCACTTTTTACTTTAAAATTTCCCAAGTATCAACTCTATTCCTTTTTTAAAATTTTGATTTAAAACACCGTGTTCAGGAAATAAGAAGCCTACATTCTCTACCTTACCCAGGAATTCTATTCAAAAATCCCTTTTTTCTCTAGAAAATCCCCCCAAAGCCCTCTGCACAAAGATATTGCCCTGCAATACAAATCACAAAAGATACAGAATATGGGGGAGAACTAAGTGTGGTGGCTCAAGCCTGTAATCCAAGATACCCAAGAGGCTAAGGCAGGAGGATCACAAATTCAAACCCAGCCTGGGCCATTTATCAAGACCTTGTCGTCAAAAAATAAATAAATAAAATGCTGTAAATGTATCTCAGTGCTCAAATCTTTGCCTAGAGTAACCTGAGTTCAAGCACCAGAAATACCGAGAGAGACAGAGAGAGAGAGAATTGTTACTTAAACCAATAAAAGTTGAATTTTTAATTTAATCTGAAAAGTTTTCTTCTCAAGTAGCTAGTGGGTAAGAGACAAATCTTCATGAGAAGAATGAGTAGAACCTTGGAAAGAAGGCTAGGAGGAACCATCCTCCCACTCTCTCTACCCAGACCTTACAGGAAAAAAATCCTGTGAGTAGAGAGGAAATTTCTTTCCCAGTATCACCAACAAATTGTCAGCAGGGACTAGAATACTGGTTTCCTGACCCCTTTGCCAGAGTACTTGGTTCCAGACCAAGCTGGGTTTTATCCAGAACCCCAAAGAGTTTCATGGCAGACGGTCAGTGAAGAGAGCTGTTAACCCTACCACTTTATACTTAAGTGGAGCGACTGTCTAGCTAACATATTGCCAAGACATTTCAATGGGCAGATTCAGGTTATTTTTGCTCGGTAGACATTATTTGACCCATTCTTTGATTTTTTTTGTTTTATTTTTTGCATTTCTAGACCAAAAACCCAGGGTCTTGTGCATGCTAGGCAAGTGCGGTATCACTGAGCTACATCCTATAACCCCAGGCATTTAGGAAGATGAGGCAGGAGAAGCCAGTACAACACTGGAACATACGGAGAATTTGTCTCAAAAACAGTAACAACTTTGGACCAAGGATGTAGCTTGGGAGAGACTATGAGCTTTCCTATGTGAGGCCCAGGATTGAATCCTTAGCACAAGAAAAGAAAAGAAGGGGGTGGGAGAGAAAGAAGGAAAAACAATTATAGATCATACCACTACATGCCAATGTTCTTTACATGTCCAAATCCCCTTTAGTTTCTTTTAGTTTCGTGTCTTTTAAAATGAACTAAAAGCCAGAGCTATGACAAACGCCTGCAATTCCAGCTACTCATGAGACTGAGGAAGATTTGTGAAATCCAGGTCAGTGTAGGAAATTTAGCAAGACCCTGTCTGAAAAGATTAGAAAGGGCTAAGGATGTAGTGCAGGAGTAGGATGATTTCCTAGCACGTGTGCAGTCCTGGATTCAATCTTCAGCTCCGTAAAAGATAAAATAAAATAGACCTTAGTCTCTGCCTATACTTGCTAAATGAGAATCTCTGAGGCTAGGGACCCAGAATCTGAATTTGTATGTTAAAATACTCAAAGTGCTCTGAGTCATGGCCAAGGTTGAGCACTCCTGGAGGACTGGAGTCTTGTCCCTGTCCATTTTTTGTTTCAGGATAAACAATGACCTTCTCGTCTGGAATGCTAATTACTCATCACCATCCAAACCACTATTGACCAAATAAGCATCCCTGGCCCATCCCAGAGAAAGGATCTGGGTGGAGTGGGGAGAGGGGCACTGAAACTAAGGTTCCCCTGACCTCAGGCACAGCTGAGTCAGAGCCAGCCAAGGCCCAGTGAGCAGGAGTGTCGAACGCACCCCCCACTTCCCCTTGAGGGAGCCACAGTCCTTATCTCAGTGGATGGAGCAGCAGCACCCACTTATTTCCTTAATGGGCCATTGCTCTTAATGTGAATGAAGGGTTGGTGAAGAATGAAAACAGCCCAGCAGGAGCTGCATGCATTTGCGATGAGACAGAAGCACAAATCTATTCCTTGTTTAAAGATCACGCTGCTAAGAATAGAAGCTGAAACACAGGCTCAAGAGTGTGCACACACAGCCCTGAGGAAGGCCACGATGGGACGGCAGAAATTCATAGCCTAGTAGAGGATGATCTGAGAATTGGAGAGCCTCACAGCAGAAAAGGTACCTGAGATCACACCCTCTAATTGCTTCTTTTACACGTGGGGAGGCAAAGGCCCAGAACAGGACAATCCCCAACATCTTCCAGAAACAACACAAGCAGCACTGGAATTTAGATTTTGGACTCCGCAGCTTCAGGTGCATCTCAGTGTAGCACAATGGCTTGAGGACTCCAGGGCTCAGAAGGCTGGGCAGGGCCAATGTCATACTGTTACTGCCAGGGAGGATCAAGCAAAGAGAGGCACCACTGCATTATCAAAACAAGGAAAAATAGAAAATTACCTACATGTTCATTAATGAGGATGTGGTGGAGAAAATGATTCCGTAGGCATAGTGTTAAAATATGTAGTCATTAAAATAATTTTTGCTTAAACTGAACATTGAGAGAGCTAGGTGCTATGGTGTGAAAGTTTGTCCTTCCAAAATTCCTAACCCGCAATGGGATGATAGCGAGAGGTATTTAGGAGGTGATTAGGTGATCAGGCTCTGCCGTCGGGAGCAGGGTTACTGCGGCTATGAAAGAGGGGCCCCTTCCCCCTGTGGGTCCACAGAGACAGCCCAGTCTATGAAGCACAGAGCCCTCACCAGACTCAGACTCTGCCAGTGCTTTGATCTTGGATCAAGAATTGTAGGAATGAATGTCTGTTGTTTATAAATTACCCAATCTAAGGTACAGTAAAACCTTGGTTGGTGAGTATAATTTGTTTCAGAAACATGACTGCAATTCAAAGCACTTATATATCAAAGCAAATTTCTCTATAAGAAATAATGGAAACTCAGATGATTCATTCCACAACCCAAAGATATTCATATAAAAATGATTGCAATACTATAATATACTACAAAATGATGAAGAAAATATAAAATACAAACAAAAATGAACAATGTAACCTCCACTTACCTCTGACAACCTTTGTGGCTGGGATAAGAGATACTAAAGGGGAGAGTTTTGTCGTGTATGATGATGACTTTCACTATTACTAACAGATTCACTACTATCTACAGTATTGGCTCAATAGAATCTTTTTCTTTTCACACAACTCTAACAAGGAATCTACCCAATGATATTTGCTTTTGGCCCTTTTGAGGATTTTGTGGAAATGTAACATTGCATTGTCATTAAACAGATCCATTGCTTTCATTGTTACAGCTTTATTTATGCTTTTCTACAAAGTTTTATACTGTTTGTCACATTTTACACAACTCCCTAAGCTCATTAAAGTGAAGGGGTCCTCCTTTCCTTCCTTCTCTACAGATGGGATCTCCTCCATAACCTCTTGCCTTGGTGTGTGTGTGTGGGGGGGGGAATCAGTCAATACTGCAGAGAGAGAGAGACAGAGAGAGAGAGAGGAGAGAGGGAAAGAGAAGAAAGGAGAAAGAGGAGAGAAGGAGGCAGAGAATGGGGAACCACTGGCTCAGTTGTGATCATGTAACTTTGGGCATCATGTACTACTAATATTGCAAGACATCATCTGTTTATCAAGTTAAAACTTATCAGAAATGTTAGCTCATCTTGTGGAACATTCCAGAAGTTACTTACAATTCAATGCTCTACTGTATCTTTTATAGCAGCTTGAATGAACAAATGCAGTAAGATACAAACAGTGTAACACATTTATATATCCTCTTAATTTTTAAAGATTGCAGTACTGCAATTGAATCCTGGGCCTTGTCCATCCCGGGCAATAGCTATATCCTCAGCTTCTATTTATAGTTAGGAAGAAAGATATGTATATGCTACTATTTATCATGCACTTACTATCATGCTGGTGCTGTGCTAATTACTAAAACATTACCTAATTTAATCCACAAATCAACCACTTGATTGAGTTGTATTGCTATTTACGTTTTACAGAAAGGAAATAGTGTAGAGATGTCCTAGATGTCCTAGTATAGAGATGCTAACAAATGACAGAGTGCATATTTGGACCCTAAAGGTTTGAGTTCCAGAGCACTTACATTCAACATAAAAATGAAAAAAGAAGAACAAGCAGACTGGCAGGGCACCCAGTTATCCTAGAGGATAAAATCACAAGTATAGTTTTTGGCTTTTTGTCTTATTTTCTTTGCTTCTTTTTCGTTATTGCTTTTGCTTTAAAAACCCCCATTCTCTTCTCTCCCCAGATTCTGGTAACCTCTAGTCTAATTTCTATGTCTGTGAACTTTCCTATTCTAAGCTTTCAGACAAGTGGAATCACATGACATATATCTTTCGGTATCTGGACTTTTGGGTTTGGTTTGTTTTTTAAGAGTCTTGGTATGCAGCTCAGGTTGGCCTCAAACTCTTAATACTCTTGCCTCAGCCTCCAAGGGCTGGAATTACAGGGTATGTGCCATTGTGCCCAGTAGGTGTCTGGTATATTTTGTTTAGCTCATGTTTCAAGGTTATCCATGTGGTAGCACATAATCATGGTTCATTCTCTCTTATGGTTGAGTAATATTCAATTAAGTGAATATACTACACTTTGTCCATTCTTCTGTTGATGGACATATGCATTGTTTGTATTATCTTCTGGCTGATATAAATAATGATGCTGTGGACATTCATGTAGAGGAACTGTTTGAGTTCCTATTTTCAAATCTTTTGTGTCCAGGCTTAATTGTAAAAACACTGGGTAATATGGTAGTTATTTATAGAATTTCCATACTCTATTTCACAGCTAGTGGGCTGTTGTACATTCTCATCAATGATGTATTATGATTACAGCATCTCCATATCCTTGTCAACATGCTATTTTCCTTTTGTTGTTGTTGTGTTTTTGCAGTGCAGAAGGCTGAACCTGGGGCCTTTGACAAGCACTCTACCACTGAACACTCCTCCATTCACTTTTTTTTATTCTAGGCATCCTAGTAGGTGTGAAGTGATACTTCATTGTAGTTTTTGTGTTTTTTAAAATTTTATTTTGAAAGTAGTAAAATACGACAGAACAAGACAGAATAAAGCCAACTAAGATCGTACAGTGAAATTGGTACAGAACTCACAGCAGGTTACCGGGATAACAGTAATAGGTATCACAGTATATCTCATTATCTTCACAATAGTTGTTCTTTCAATCACATATATCAAAATGAAATGAAATACAGAACATTATAGAACTTATCAAAACAGAATATTGAATAGAGCAGTACTATTAATCAGAATAGAGCAAAACAGTAATAAAAATACTTGTCTTCAAAGAGATGGTAGAAGGAAATCCCCCTTATTTGCTATGGTCAACCTCCCAGGGGACACTCAGATTTCTGGTTCCCATTTGCTAACAAGGGGACAGGAGAAGGGGGGTAGGGGAAGTGGGATGTTTGACTCTAGGCTGTGCACTAGTAGGTTCAATATTGCTTAGCAGGGAGGCAGGCTGGTTGCTTGGTTTCCCAGCTTCATAAGTTCCAACATGGCGCGGATCTCAGGAGATACTGGTGGTTCTCCCCCTGGAGGGGTCATAGTCTGCCACACCACAGCCACTTATCAGGGAGGGGAGGTGCTTGTTTGGTTTCCCTGTAGTTTTGATTTGTATTTCCCTACTGGCCTGTATTCAACAACTTTCTACCTGCTTGTTGTCATTATTGTCTTGTTTTGTTTTGAGACAGTATCTTCTGATGTAATCCAGGATGGTCTGGAACTTTCTATGTAGCCTAGACTGGCCTCAAACTCACAATGATCCTCCTGCCTCAGCCTCCGGAGTGCTGGGATTATAGATGTGCACCACCACACCCAGATCTACATGCTTATCGGCCATTTATATATCTTCTTTGGTGAAATGTCAGTTTAAGTCCTTTACCCATGTTTGTTTGTTTTTGTGGCTATTTGTGTTGTGGTGCTAACCTCATACCAGGCAAGCATGCTATCTCAGAGCTAGATTCCCACTCTTTTGCCTATTTTTTAGTCATGTTGTTTATCTTTTTGTTAAGTTTTAAGGGTTGTTTGTATTTTATTCAATATTATTTATTTTTATTTTCTGGTACAGAGGATTGAACCCAGGGCCTCTGCACCTCTGCACTGAGCTACACCCCCAGCCCCCCACCTATTTATTATTTAGACACAGGCTCTCACTGGTCACTAAATTGCCTAGACTCAGTTTCCACTTGTGATCCTCCTGCCTCACCCTCCCAGAGTTCCAGGATTATAGATGTGAAGCACCATATCCAGGTATGGAGTTTTTCCTATATTCTAGATATAAACTCTTATCCTGTATGTCTCTTACATATACGTCTCTCATTCTTGAGATAATCTTTTCAGTCTCCCAGTAGTGTTCCTTAATGCACATGTTTTTAATTTCAATGAAGTCCCATTTCCATTTTTAATAAGCTAAAACATTGAAAAGTTATGTCTATGACAAATTTTGATGATCTAGGCCAAAAAAGGAGCCATAGTTGCATATGTACAAACTAACCATGTAAAAACAGTGCTAGTTAGATCATCTGGAAAGAATTAACTATTCCAGGAAGACCGAGAATGAGTGTCAGTAGATGGAAAACACTCTGTCACCCTCCATCAGTCAGGTGCTGTGGCTGGCTGGCTTCTCACTTCCCTGCTTTTCAGAGAGGCCTGACTGCAGCTCTGGTGAGCTCAGTCTCTAACACCTACACCTGGTTTTCAGAGCTACTAGTAGATCCTCATCTTTTCCACACCCCTTCCCAGGACCTTCAAAAGATGTGGGAAGAACATGGACAAGAGCTAATGAGTGGAAGGGAGAAAAGAGAATCCTTTCTTCCTTTAAAGGACAGACTCAGACTTCCGTAGCCTTTGGGACAGAAGGATGTAGCTTCAAGAGCAGCCATGTGGATCTAGGTTAGACAGCTGGCAGAATCTGATGATGAAGCAAGACAGACAGCTCCTGGGGAGCCCTTTAAAACACCAGGCTTTTAAAGCCCCATTTCTGCTTCACAGAATCACACTGTTTCGGGAGAAAGCTGAAAGGAAATGCTTTGTGATTGCAATCGTCCCTCCGGTGTCCTGTGGGGCACTGGATGGGCTGTCACCCTCCCGCAGGTGCAACAGCAGCAGTGTG